AAGAAATTGATTTAATAATAGTTTGGAGGAAATGGTGCATTTTTAATATAAGACGTTTCTGAAGCATAAGGCTTCGGCGGCTCGGGCGGTAGTGGGGAAACTGTAGACGTTATCTTTGAAATTGGGCAATTAATTCCGAGCATTGGTTTACTCTGTTAAGGCGTGTCAAAGAAAAAAAATAGAAGTTCAGTACTGAATGAATATTGAATATTGATTAGTGAATAGTTCAGTGTTCAATGAATAATGATCAGTGAGGAAATAAAGTGAACTGAGAAAGAAGAATTATCTTCTCTTTGGAGAATAATTTGGAGAATAGTTAATCTGTATAAAGATTTATACAGATTTTTTATTGTTACATTTTTAGTTATAAATTTAGAATATTGAAAATTTTAAAAAACGTTATTTCCTTTGAAAATTATTATTTGTTGTTATTCTAAAAATAAATAACCATTATATTTAACATAATTGTAATTGCATATATGTATAAATATATTTATAATACTTTTAAAATAAATTGTTTTATCTCTATACAAAAATATTTTTTTACTATTGTATATTTGCATTCCTATGTATTCGTTAAATTTTGTATTATTTCTAAATTTTATAAATATAATTAATATTTATATTAATATTTTTTAAATTTTATAAATTTAAGAAATATATATTTACATTTATCTTTTTATTTTAAAGTAATAATATTATTTAAATACGTTTATTACGTACGTTTATATACTATTTTCTTTTGTTAAATATTTTTCTCATATTTTATGCAATATTTTTACCAAAATTAATAATATAATATAGTTTTTCTTTTTATTAATCAATATTTATATATTTTTACATGTATTTTTTAAATTATTTTTTTACTTTTATATTTCAAATTTGATATTTATATTTTATATTGTCTATAGAGTATTTTTTATTATTAGCTACGTATTTATATCATATTATTTTTATTTAATTTATCTCTTAAATATGATGCTAGCATATAAATAAGTTAGAAAAAGAGAGGAAGTAGTGTATATACATTCGATGTACTTGAAACTAATAAATAGATATATATTTAAAGTTTGGTGAAAGCGAGATAGAGAGTATAGAGAGTAGAGAAAGCATTTTAGTGCAGTCTAATACAGCATCGAAGAGCAGATCTATGATTAGTTACCTACTTAGCTCGCGCATGTGCAGTTCAATTACGTACACGCTAACATCAAAGGTGCTGACAGGAAGTTTCGTTACTGTCTATTACTGTGGCGTCATTCACGCTCGGTATTACTCTCGTATCGGTCGAATCAAATCGGAGCGGACGGATCGGATAGTCGGACGGGACTGGATCTTTATCGAAATTCGCTGAGTTTATATACCCATTTTTGCGCTACGTCAACGCGTGATTTGTTAAAAATTATTTAGCAAAACAGTCGATCTGTCATCTCGTCGACGCGTAATAGATTAGCGGCACGCGTATATCGCTTGATTGTGTTCGGGGATGTTCGGGCGACTCCGAATGGTGTAAGCCGCATAGCACGCGTTTAGTAACGAGCGTCAAAAACGCTCCGTTACAATCTTTTTATTTTAAAGTAATAATATTATTTAAATACATACATTTATTTTATATACTATTTTCTTATTAAATAAATATTTTTTCATGCTTTATGCAATTTTTTTTATCAAAGATAATAATATAATATAGTTTTTTTTATTAATCAATATATTATATTTTCATGAGTAGCTATATAAGGCCGGTTCTAACTCGGGAGCTCCGAGGGGGGTAGAGGGGCAGAAGGGTTCCGCGACGCGGGGCACTCCATAAGCGATGGATGCGGGATCCGCGGGGCAAGGGAGGGAAGAAGTGCGTCACTAGGCGCGGGGCGAGGAGGTGGAATATGGCGCGGGATCCGCGAAGCGAGGGATCAGCGGGTCCGCCGCCGCCGCCGCTGTCATCATGTTCTCTCTCTTACCATTTTTTCTTCTCTCTTCCTTCCTCTTCTCTCTTCCTTCCTCTTTTCTTAAGTTCTCTCTTTTTCCACCAAGGTATCTCGTTTTGTCTTGAGTATTAATTACTTTTTTAGTTTAAAATTTTTTAAATTTTTTTAAAATTTAAATTTAATTTTAATTTTAAAAATTTAAATTTAATTTTAATTTTAAAAATTTAAATTTAATTTTTTTTTAAAAGGTAAGATTTTTTTTAAAATATTACTTAGTAATTTATTATTATTATTATGAGTGATATTATTATTCGCGACAAGATGCGTTGGCACGCGACTCGTTATCGCAGCGCAACCTGAAACAGCTGAATTGAAAGGAAGAATGGAGAATAAACCGAGTAATATTTATCATAATATATATTTATTGGTCATGTAATGCATAGTGTGCAATATTATCTATTGCGTACGCTAATAATTCACAATCTATAATTGAAGTTTTGTTCTTAATTTTGTGATTGATATTATTTATTTTTTTATCTACTTTATATATCATTTGATACACTCCGAAATTAGATATCACATGCGAAAATATTCCACATAGGTCGACGGTATGAAATATATATCTTTAAAACGGTAAGATCATTTTATCGACACGTTAAAAAGAAGAAGGGAGGGTGTGCGTCACGGCGGGACCCGACCACGAACCAGTCGTGAAAACTCGTAATTATTTTTGCGAAAAAATACCACCTCAGCCAGGAATCGAACCTGGATCTCCTACTTACCGGGCAGGCATCTTATCCTTTCGACTACCGAGGCATGTGATGATATTTATCGCAAATAACGTATTTAGAATAACACTTCAACAATACAATGATACATATATATATATATATTACAATACACATATATACATGTATTTTTTCGAATCCCCACGACCGGTACTCCAGAGAGATGATGGTCCTATTCTCTCGAATGCACTTCACTCCTTCGTGTCGAGACTGACGTTTCTTATGTGCACCATCTCGCAAGTAGGAGCGGTAGAATCTACTTCACCACTCCACTAAGAGCTACTTGGTACTCCAGAGAAATGATGGTCCTATTCTCTCGATGTTAAAAATTACAAACTTGCAATTTTACGTAGGTCAATGAAATATATTTTATTAAACATAAATAAGGAAATATAAAAAAACATTAATTTAAGAATGTAATATGGAATACAACATATACGATATGTTAGAAAATAAATTCTAAAATACTGAAATTTTAAAATATAACATATAAAATATAAAATGTAAAAAATATTGTAAAATATTATTTAGTAACTTAAATTTAATTTTCTTCGTCTTGTAATATATCTATCTCATCTAACCAATAATATTTTTCATTATTAATTATAAACTCTTTAATACACTCGCGACAATCTAAAGCTATATTATATTCCATTAAAAGTTTATGACAAATAAAACATTTTCTTTTTAATTCATAATTTTCTGGCACTACTTTACTGTGTAATGTGTGCCAGTTTGTTATTGCTACTCGAACACGATTAAAGTCTTGCACTTCTGCATGAAAGCAGTCTTCATATATTCTTCGAAAAGGAGCGTCATCTTCTCTGTAGATGATACTGGCAGAGTTTATAGCTTTTACGCATGTTCCCAGCAGAAGCAGCTTGTAAGTTTTCGGATACTCCTCCGGAATAACTCCGTCTACTGCTTTCACGCTTTCTTGGCTCGTTGGCGGTTTCATCTTTTGATTTTATTTCACAATTAATATTATATTTTATTTAACTCACTTAAATTTTTTCTTTTATAATATTTACCTTATAAGTTACTCGCACGCACTTAGTATTCAGTCAGTAGAACTTGCACTTAATACTTGATGAATCGAGTCTGAATGTCTACTGACGGTTAAGGACTCCTTCGTCTTGCCGCTGATACATGATACGCTTTGCATCTTTCTTATTTTTTAAAAATACGGGTTGACATCGCGAGATTTATGTTAATGTCTTCTTTTTTCACTGACTATAACAAATAAAAACAAAGAAGTTATTTAAAATTTAAAAATTATTGTAAATTTAAAATAAATATTCATACGTACCTTTATAATTTATATGTAGTATTTATGTGCTCTATAGTTTTAATATACACATATAGAACACATATCACACAACATTATTTGATATAGCGGAGTTCTACACTCGGTACAAAATAGTCCTTCCATTGTGCCAAAAGAGTCAATTTCGTGTATACGAAGAACATTAATATGCGAATACAAGTCTCTAATTCTCACAAAACATTCTGTACAAAATCTCGAACTAGAATTTCCTACTGAATAGAAAATGTAACGCGGCACATTCTTCTTAGTTCATTTACTGCATTAATTTCACGTTGATTCAAGAGTTTATGTTTGAAACTCATATTAAAGTCAGTATCATCACTGTCATAATCAGAGTCTTCGAGCACTTCTTCATCAATATTCATTGCATCATCGTCGTCATCACTATCATCATCATCAATGTCATCAACAACATTATCATCATCACCGTTATTTTCATCTTCAATAACTTCATCTTCAATATTATCTTCATCTACCAAATCAATCACTTCAATTTCTTCTTGATTTGCTACTATCACTTCTTCATTCACTAAATCTATCACTTCGATTTCGTTTTGATTATTTGCCATTACTTCTTCATCGTTAATTAATATAACATTATTATCAGCCATAATATCTTTAATTTCTAACAATAGATTCAGAAGTCTCGTTCTCTCTTCCGTTTATATATCTCAATTACTGACAAAAGTCTCGGTCTCTTTCGTTTATATATCTCAATTTCATATGTTATATATCTCAATTTCATATGTTATATATGTGTATGTACTATCATTTGTGTCAAGCTAGCAGTTTTTGCATATATTTATATTTAGCATCTAAACTACAATATATACATGGATAGAGTAAAAGAATACAACACATTAATGTTTAAATATTTTTTATTTTTAAAATTTTTCTTTCTGGCGTTGTAACCACCAGTTAAATATTTTAAATACATTTTGTAACGCGCAATGTTTCGAATGTTTTACACATCGAAAAGTATTGTTAACATCTAGATTATTCAATGATTCTAAATCTTTATAATCAATATCCAAGGTTTCGATGATGACATCATTCCTCGCATCGCTATCGAGCATATTTGTCAACCATTCTTTCTTCTGACATCCTTTAATGTATATGAGAGCTTCATCTTCTGTGTCAATCACAGCTGTTGTAATCAAACGTTCCGCCATGCTATATGGAATCATTCCGTCTTCCTATCGCAAGCCATGATGATTTGCAATCAACCAGGAAGCGCAAGATTTGTCGGATTTTGTAAGGAGATGCCATGGTATAGAACTTGCAAAAATATAATGAGAGAATTGTCCCATTTCTCAACACAGCCACTTCCTTCACGACAAATCTCCTTCCGACGATGAATCCTTGCAGATCCGCAAACGTTGATCATGACGAAAAAACAATTCCTTTGAGACTACGCTCCATCGACAAATACATCGGATTTTTATTCCTTTCTTATATTAAAAAAGAAGGGATATTTGCAAATTGCAGTTTACATAATCTTGCGCACTACATTGGATAATGGGCAATACTCAATAACGCGATCGTGCAAGATGAGACAATAAGCGGTAGTATTCGGCGGTACATTTTCTTTACAATCAAATTCTATTCGTATATCTACAGTAACGCTCTCGATGGATTCGTTTTGTTGCGAGTAGTCAATGACTATAATAGGTCCTTTTGTCAAAAATGTTCCTACGGTGAAAAGCGTTTCGTAACAATCGTATTCGTAATATGATTTACAAAAACGTGCATACATGTCAAAGAGGATGGCGTATCTATTTTTGTTAAAAATCTAGATTTAAGTCGTCGTACGGATAAAATTCGGAATTTAAATAAAGTTTCACATTGGTCAATTTACAGTCATCGAATATCGTAACATCTTCAGACATGTTATTCTTTCGGCCCGCCTGCAGAGCAAAGATAACATACTGCGGTTTCTCTAGCTGAGTCGACGTTTTTACAGCCCACGAATGTTTAGTTGTACTTTGTAATAAAGGATACTCGTATAAATCCCACGAGCGAAAACTCATGCTCAGATATCGCCCACTTTCCAAAGCTCGCAACAAAGATAGTTTATTGATTTCATTCAACATTACATGAGGCATTCGCCACTGTACTTTGAATAATTCTATTTCCGGCTCCATCGTCGAAACTCCCACCATACAGTTGTTGTCGCTGCGCGCTCGTATCAGTATCAATTCGTGACGAGCGTTAACAACCACACGTTTGTAATCTTCGCAAAAGCCAAACAACAGATTGAGTGGCACGCAAAAATTAAAGTATCCTTCCGGTATGGTCGATGAAATGTCCCATCCTGCGTTTCGCAAAATAGCGCCTTGTCATACGTCAGCGATACATAATTCTTGATTGTACTGGTTATTCCGACGTTTCTGTTGCGATCAATCTCCACATCATTGAGTTCGTATCGAATTTCATCAATTTCAAACATAAATGCTACACAATTGTTTCCAAGAATTGTCACTGATTCATTATTTTTCTTCTTTATCGTCAATTTTCCTTCGACATAGAGAAAGCTTTCGCATGGCAAGATGTATAAATCTTGCTGTTGTATAGGTATTCTTATTTCATCGTTATGTCCAAACGTCGTGTTTGCGTACGGATTGTACGTGTGAGTCTCAATCTTGACGCGATCGTCAAAGACCGGCTCACTTCCAATATTTAAGATATCAATCATTTCGAATGATGAATCCTAATGATCTTAAAAATTTAACTTGGATATGTTGAGTTTCTTTTTACCGTATGATTTAGTATTCTTAGTCGTCGCTTCAAAAATTATGTCCTTTATTTGTTTCACCTGCTCGTTCAACACTAGCATTTCATTCAACACCCTTGTTATCGCTGTCGTCTGCGTATATGCAATCTAACGGTGATTTCCTCTCCGCGAAAATCGAGCAATTGGCCGTCTTGATCCACAATACGTATCGTTAAATCAGTAATGCTCCGTGCGATGATCGGAAGGTAAATGATTTGCGTCGGCGTTTCCGATATTTTATATCCTGGCGGCACGCTCGGTGAAAACTCATGTATCGTATGTACGCACTTGTCGTTGCTGTACGCACCAGCGGTCATATTGCATTCTATGCGAATAATATTTACGTTGACGATATTTATCGGTACGTCTGATTCGTGCCATTGTTGCGACTCCAGCATACGATTCGACGAAAATCCAAGCAGCAGTCCAATGTTATCAGGTTTGACGAAATTTATTCGATAAGCGCTTGATCTCGCTCTTCATCGTATTGTTATTAGCTCGAATAATCAATGGATACTCGTTCCCTTCATCTTCTTTTTTGAGCATCTTCTTTTTTACAACATCGTTGAAACGAGGATATTGTTGTAATATTGCACGTTTTAAATATCTGCTTATGTCATGCAGTTCGTGCGATCCTTCGGGAATGACAATTTTTTTGTCGTCTTGGTCAAAGTAAAATTTGTTATTAGACAATGTTACATTCGGTATCGCGTGGTACGTTTCAAAATCTGCCAGACCGAGTTCGTAATCACCATCGCTCAAATCTATGACTGGAAAATAGCTTACCGATAGCAGACTACTCTTACCGGTCAACGTAAACGTTAATGACATGTTTGATCGAATACTGACTTTATACAACGCAATGTCGGTTCTTAAATTGATTGTCAACTCCCTTCAGAAACTGGCATAGTTGTCCACAATTGCTTTAATCATACCGTTGATATGCTGTGCGATTATATTCGATGTATGTCTTTTCTAGATATCGTACCAATTCCTTCGGTGGTCGAAGATTGCCAAAACTATCAAAATAAATAGCTCGATCCCCCCTCTTTGCATACGCTACCCAATGAGTATCCCAGCATTATCTAAATTCAAGATACCGCTCTCGTTTCGATGTATTCCTGTAGGTAAGGTAGTACGCATAAAAACACCTCTAAAATACGGAATGCGCATACGTGTTGCCAATTGTTGTAGTTGTACATTGGTAGTTATACCTTTAGGAATTTTTAACTTTCTCTTTAATTTTTAATTTTCTCTTTGACGTTTTTTTTTCTTGAAGAGGCACCTCGTCCACGCTTGTACGGAGCGAGATAAAGTCCATGACCTTCCATAGCACGATTATGACGTTTCAATTCTTCTAGTTGATGTTGCGCAGCTTTGTTATCGTTCACTGCCTTGGCCGCTCCACCAACCAATGAACCGAGAACTCCCAACAATGGCAGGATAGGTAGGATACCACTGCGTTTCGCTACTGGAAGTATTCTTTTATTCATTGCTTTCTTCATCGGCTTCTTCTTCATTTTCAAATCCATGCCGATTTTTGTCTTAGCCTTCATGGCCGCCCAGACAGCTGCGGCGGCAGCTCTTTCCAGAGTCGAATCTCTCGCGGTGATGCGTTTTCGCGCTTTTGCGGCGAATATATTGTCGGCTACGTGTCGTTTAGCGAGATCGTTGCTTTGTGAGTAAGCTATATCGTGTTTGCGACATGCGGCATCCAATATATTAATTCCTCGATCGCCTCTAACCAACCGCTTTTCTAAATGCGTTCTAGGACTGCAAAATTGATATCCGGGGATATGCAATTCGAAAGGAAGCGCATTTATCGCTCGATTTAACGGACCTCTGCCTCTCGCTGACATTCGTCACAATTCTTTATCAACATCGGATCGTCGATGTGTGTGCGTTGCCACGGTTGGTTATAATGTTCGACGCAGCGACGATAGGTTCGAACCTCCAAATCCGTCTTTATATGCTCGGGCAGCTTGTCCCATAAGAGATCTATGCAGTTTTGAAATTCTCGTAGTAAAACAACTTTCGATATATATTGTAACTGTTCGGATGTTATATTGTAAATATCGCAGCTATCTGACACGATAAGAAACATTTTGATTACTGAGCGGTTTCGCTCCGTACTCCTCTATAAATAGATCCGCTTTTTCTACACTGTTTTCAGTTATTGTCGTTGTAGGGAGACAAAATGCAATTCGTGCAACAATCACAGACGATCAGAGTGATTAATTTAGACGACAAAGTACAACTTGAAAGGAAAACACGCAAACGTGGAAACATGCTTCCTATTTCTATACGTGGTATCATATGTGGACCGTCAAATTGTGGCAAAACAAACGTGTTGATAAGTTTGCTGGAGAGTCCACACGGTATGCGCTTTAAAAATGTGTACATATATTCTAAATCGCTGCAGCAACCGAAATATCGATACTTGGAAAATTTATTAACATCGATAGAAGAAATTAGTTTTTTACATTCTCCAATAATAGCGACGTCATTCCACCGAGCGAAGCGCTTCCGAATTCCATCTTTATCTTTGATGACGTAGCGTGCGACAAGCAAGATACAGTAAGAGAGTATTTTGCAATGGGCCGTCACGCTGACGTCGATTGCTTCTATCTCTGTCAGACGTATGCAAAGATACCCAACCATCTTATACGCGACAACGCAAATCTGTTGATTCTATTTAAACAAGATGATACCAATCTAAAACATGTATACAACGATCACGTAAACACTGACATGTCCTACGAGGATTTCTGTAAATTGTGTCGCAGTTGTTGGCAACAAAAATATGGTTTCGTAGTGATAGACAAAGACAGCACGCTTGCTAATGGACGATACAGAAAAGAATTTAACGATTTTGCGATACTATAATGTTGTTAGTTGTTATTGATACGTCGACTAGACAACGTTTACGAACATGGATAATAACGAGGAGATTAGAGATTGCGAGAAGATAGTAAAGCAGATTGCGAAAACGAGCGATTCAATTTGCAAGAAATATCGCGCCTTAAAAACGTAAGGATAAGATGGAAGAGGATATTGCTTTGGAAAGACAGTTCAAACCGATTGTCGAACCTTTGATTCAAATTGTTGAAAATACCGGCGCTGAAGAACCTAACTATAAAATGGAGTCTAACGTGACAAGGGAGACAAAACGAAAACGGTCGCAAAATTTAGATAATTCACTGATAACTTCTACTCCACAAAAACGATCAAACGCTTTATTGGACGTATCAGTGATGACCTCTATTCCGAAGCCTAACGTGACAAGGGAGACAAAACGAAAACGATCGCAAAATTTAGATGATTCACTGATAACTTCTACTCCACGAAAACGATCAAACGCTTTATCGGACGTATCAGTGATGACTTCTGTTCCGATTAATGTCACACATCATGCAACACCATATGAACAACCTTCGAACAATATTTTACCTGTCGAAGATGTTTTCGAAATTACCAACGAGTAACTCACTGGTGATGTCTGTTCGACTTCAGTTACAAACCTCGAAAGGTCTAGAAACGCTGCAAAATCATTTCGGTCTACTAGGAAACAAAAATACATGGAAGCTGTTTTAACCGGAAACAAGGATATAGATAACGTTTATAGTGTTTATTTCACCAACGATGGATTGATGCTTGGTGATAAGCGTTTCAATGTAAGCAAAGATGACAATATATTTATAAACGGAATAAGATATTTGGGAACGGAAGGTCTTTACGAGTTAATTTTTAAAAAGTACCTGACAATGAATTGTGCAACACTGAAAGAAGAAAAAAGAAATAGAAATACAAAGATATTTTGCTACTGACAAACGCGCATAGACATAATCATAATATGCTTAATCCAATTATTGGTAATAAAGGATATAAATACAAGTATGTAATCGCACCCCTTCTACCCCAAAAAGTCGGAAGACGTATACCACGTGTCATGACACTAAACGATAATGCCATCGATTACGTGCATTGGGATGATCCAAATGAACTTGTAGATCGTCTCCGATTACTCGAGGCTTCACGCCAAGTTGGACACAACGCTCACGACAACGAGATACAGTCAATTATCGAGGAACTTGTTGAAGCTCATTATAAATTGAACTCTCATTATAAATTGAACCGCGTGTCAAGGAAATGAGTCATTTAACAAGTGTCGAAATGCCAATCAACAAGTTTGGGACATCACTTGGAAGAAGCGGAGCGGAACCATACTACCAATGGAGTGGATTAGTCAGAAATTACGTGCGCGATAACGCTCTTTGCGTGGTCGCAACCGACTTTGATGCAAAGTCACGCAAAATTCGACGTGTAGCGTTACCGGTAGATGATGGCGACGTTGTAAACAAACAGTACGTGGAACATAGTGTACAAATTTTGAAGGATCGATAGAACGAAATCGAGAAGAAATTGATTACGTTCCAAAAGGACGTACAGATTATTTTAAACGAGCTTCGACAAATGATTACTCATCGCACCGAGAGTAATCATTAGTAGATAAGAATATACACTAAATTTTGTATTATTTGCGTGTCGTGATATTCGAGAAGAAGAAAAATTCTGAGAAGCAGTGGCTAGTGGAGAAACTGTACGCTCCGGCGAGAAGAAATTTTCCACGAAGACGTGTCATAGTACGCGGGTACGATGACCTATGGCAGGCAGATGTAGTCGAAATGCGACTTATACGCGATTCAACAAAGGTTACCACTATATCCTCACTATTATCGATGTGCTGAGCAAGCACGCATGGGCCGTACCGCTCAAGACCAAGAGTGGAGACGAAGTTGCAAGAGCGATCGAAAAGATAATTCGAGACGATGGAAGATGTCCGAAAAATTTGCAGACCGACAGAGAAAAGGAATTTTATAATGCAAATGTACAAAAAGTCATAAAGAGACACGATATTAATCACTATTCGACATATTCTGTAATGAAAGCATCAATCGTCGAACGGTTCAATCACACGTTGAAAAATGACATATGGAAGATGTTTACTCATAATGGCAATTATAGATGGCTCGACTTGTTATCACGTCTCGTCTTGGTGTATAATACGCATCGAACTATCGGTATGCGACCCATAAATGTTATCCCCGCAATCGCAGACAAACTCTTGACCACAGTGTATAATCACATAAAAATTGCTGCATCCGCACGATTCAAAGTAGGCGATTCGGTACGTGTGAGTAAATTCAAGACAATATTTGAAAAAGGTTATACACCAAATTGAACCACGGAGGTGTTTAAGATCATCAAAGTTCAGAAAATTAATCCCGTGACGTATTTATTGCAAGATTCATGTGGAAAATCAATCGCTGGAGGATTCTACGAATACGAATTGTCATCGCGTTGTAAACCCCAACGTGTATCTCGTTGAAAAAGTATTAGGCAAAAGGGGGAATGAGGTTTATGTTAAATGGTTAGGATTTGATAATTCGCACAATTCATGGATACACAAAAGTAACGTGTTGTAAAATAAATTTAATACAAGTTTCTTTATATAATACATGTATTACAATTTATTATAGAAGTAAATGAATTTTTATTTACAATATATAAATATATATTATACAAAATAAATGAGTTTTTATTTATAAGATATGTATTATAACGATATTTTATAATGTCCCCATGGCAGTGTGTCGGTAGAGTCGGGTACAATGTATCGCTTATCATCGTACGGACTTAGAGCAATTTTTGTTTCGGATATCGTATATACTTTATGCATTTTTGATCTTATACAAGACTGCTGTCGTGTTATTTCAGTCTCGTCTCGCAAACACTGTGTGTAATCATCAAATGTTATCGATTTTGTTACTACGTTACTCTTGATGCCTTTCACTTTTTTCGTATCATTTTTTTCCATCAACACGCAAGGCATACATTTTTGCTCTAAGCCCTACGAATTCAGCCATAATTGCACCATTGTTTTCGTTCTTCATCAAATTTGGTATCTTTTTATTAGCAAGTGGAATACCGTATACATTATCAACCGCATAATCACTCGTATCGAATCTTTCAATATTACGTTTCATGATATCGTAGACGTCGTCGCACTCGATGTGAATCGATGTAAATTAAACTATCGGTATCCGTGTACATTACTTTACATTTCTCGCCATATAATGATGACATGTAATCATAATGAAATTCATACAAACATGTCTTTGATATCGAGGATGCACATACCTACATAGATTGGTTTGTTGAACTTCACCTCGAGTTTACGCAATTCGATTGCGATCAAGTTCTCTGAAAAAACGCTTCGGCTGTGGAAATTTGGTTTCGCGATCATTGCCTCCGCGCCATATCTTCCCTCCCATTTTGTTAAAAGTTTAACGTCGACGTGATTGCGCACATTCTTCCATGATTTTGCCAAAGACCTCGTTGTTCATCAATTTATATAAATTTTTCTCGAAATCATTTTTAGCGAGTGTTCTAAATTTCGTATTGAGTTCGATATACTCCCGGAGCCATGAAGATTGCGAAAATTGCAATACGCGATGTATTTTTGTAACGCGAAGACCGTGACGAATACATTGCTGTAGGTTGTGATAATGTATGACATAACGTTTCTTATCGTACAAGGTTGCGAGGAGTTTGTCCTGTCGCTTACCGGGTGGTTTATCGCGCGTTGGACAAAACGATAGGTTAATGTGCGCGTCGTGAAGATGTTCCGGGTATTTTAAATCTACCTTGAGAATGTAACCGATAGGCGAATCCAGTGGTGTTGCGTTTAAAATTGAACACGTCGACGATCCATCGAAAATTTGCGTAAGGCAATGGTTGACACATTGCCCAACCGTACAAGTTGTTAACGTCAAAGTACATAAGATACGACGATGGTTTCAATGAATCGTATGACTGCGTGTACTTGTTGTTGGCTCGCGCGTATCGGTTGGAACATTGAGTTAGACCACCGCGTATACCGCGTTCGATGAACATGATCATGTCGATGTCGGTGAGCAGTTCGAAATTGACGTGAATATGTTTCAACATTGCATCCCGTAAAACTCGGTATAATAGTACGCAGGATCGAGTCCATAACTCGCGATGCAACTATCACGAAAATTTTCAAAGATATCAGCCAACAACAAGACCTCAGTCTTGATATAAATCACTGTATTCGCCGAGCGTTCGGATAAAGAACCGCTGCCATACATTGCCGGCGTGCGCGTAATCGCTCACAGTATCACCTGTCAATGAACTGTAAAATGATTCGCGTGATGATAAACATAACTCCTCCAATTTTTCGACGCAGTCAATATCGTACGGAAAGATACCTTTTCGCGTCAGTAAATTAAAATCTTGTGTCGATAAATTTTGAAACTCGCATTGCAATACTCGTAGCTTATCTTTACTCAAGAAGGATACCAGTTTGTCGAGACTGGTATTGGGAAATTTGAATGAATCAATAAATCGTAATTTAACACAATTTTTTTGATCATTTTTGTCTTCCGTATCTTTGACATTTTTTGTAAACGAAATATATTTTTCTTTTATTATCGGAAATAATTCTATTCGTCCTTCATATGCCGTAGCTATTTCCGTAATGATAAAATGCACGTCATAGCCGGATAAATTGTGAAAAACTATGGGAATGCAATGCGAGTCTTTGTAATTTAAATTACAATTTAAATGCGCGGGACCTCTAAATCGACCAGTTAGATGGCAATGATCGCGTACCCGCATGTCATCTGGAGCGAACGGTTTTTCGCACACGTGACAGTACGTAGCGTTATTAAATTTTTCCCAATCTTCTCGCATAAAATTTGCCATAGGGACATTAGCGGACAAAATAGTTTTTATGCGATGCGCTAAACTTCTGAGTTCCTCGGCAAACCACACGACGCAATCCTTATCGCGACGAAACCGATATGTGGATAGTGAGTTATCGCTATAAGAAATGAACGAATCATAGTCGAAGAATAAAAGAATAATCGACTATGATTGGTCAATTTCTTATGGTTTAAGGCTTAAATCATCTATTGTAAACCTAACCTAACCTACGTCTATGTTACGATAAACGTAAGCGCTTATATATTCTGGAAAATACGTTCTGAAAAAATAAAATATAAAAAATTATAACACAAGATTCGTCGATTAAAATAAATTTATAAATTTATAAATTTGATTACTCTTTGCTCGTATTTGCAGACACACATTCTGTTCAATAATCTAATATTACTGGATCAGCGAAATAATCTAAAATAAAATTTATATTAATATAGCTTTTCTTCTTTTAAACTCTGTTTAAAATTATTAATTTCTTTTATTTCGACGATTATAAAGAATAAAAAATGCAAATTTACGTTGAAGCTATATTCCCACAAAGATTTGAAAATTTGAATACAAATTAATAGTAATATTAATATATAATAAATATAATAAATTAGATCAGCTTGTTGTACCTCTTATTTCTTAAATTAATTAATTATTGTGTTATTACCGGTTGACCAACTATTTAATTTTACATAAAATACTTATAAAAGTTGCTGGAACAATCGGAACTTCTGCAGTGGAAATCATGTTAGTGTCGTAACGTTTTCTAATTGGTTACGTCATCACAACTTTCAAGTGTCCCCGTTTTTCTAGTGTTGCAGGAAATCATGATACTAGTTCCACTTAGTACGTTTATACGGGCTTTTAACTTCGATTTATACATCGATGTTATAACTCCTACCTAAGTGAGTCGTTTACACGTTCAGGCTTATCTTACTCCCATCAAGCTGAAATGACTTAACAATTTTCGAATGAAATGAGTCAAGGATTTCCATCAACATAAAATAACAAAAAATTAGATACTTGCTTATGGTATGATTATAGTCTAAAAGAACGTGACTTCAACAAAGCGAACTTTGAGGTAACATTATGAATGTGGAAATTATTAAATATTTATTTGTTAAGTGAAATGTAATATATAACTAAAAGTGAAATTAAAATTTTAGATTATTATAAGTTTTAGAATTGTATAATCAGAGAACATGGAAAGCGTTTGCTCATTTATTGCTATATATTTGACAAATGTTGAAACCCAGATCATGCAATCTACATTATTATTATTAATATTCGGAATATTTTGATTAAACGGCGACAACGTCTGAAAGAAAGAATATTGCTACACTCGTTAAACTGAATAACCAAATCTGAAAACAATGAAGAGTTAAGGCATTTAATTTTTATGGTTGGCATTATTGCCATCCTTACACTGCAGCCCTTTACACGTCCTTTTTACAACGATGTAGTAACTCTAAGCCTCTTCACCAAACAACTTTGAGTTGCTACATCGATGTAGTAACTTCGTCATAAAATAACGTTTACACGACATCTAACGTCAGTAGTTATAACATCGATGCTAACTTCGGCGTAAATCGAACCGTGTAAACGTAGTAACTCCCGTGCAGTACAGTATTAAGCTGCTTCTCGCCCTAATGAAGTGAACTGCAATATTCACGAAATGTTGGTATTTAACAATATATATAATGACACGGATAATAAATAAATATATTAACTTTTTTGAAAATTGCTTTTGAAAAATGTAAATCAATCAAGGATTTGTATCTTTATATCCCGTTGAAATCATCTTATTCTAAAATCCAAGTGATAGGAGTTATAATTCTTTTTCAAAATTATGATGTCATAAAATTGCGTTTAACCTAATTTAACTCAAATGATATCTAACACAAGTGGTAGTAACTGTCTTGTATCTTAATATATGTATATATAATATTTCGACATCCCAGATAGCAAAATGCTTCAAATTTGCTGTCATATAGCCGAAAGTCGTTGCAACAACTAATTTAAACAAACTCGGGATAAGATGAAACAGCATTATGTCTGTCGCATTGAACTCAATAGGATGATAATTTTAATAATGACAAATCGATGACAATATGTCAGCATCAATCTACTATTCACAATTTAACGACAACTCCTGTTGTCAATTTGTCATCCGCAATTACCAATATGTTGATAGCAAATTGGCGACAACTTGAAAACAATTCGTCATCATCGGTATGCTATCCACACAACAGCATGTTAACAACGACATGACGGCAACAAATAACGAATGCTGCATATGCTGATAATATGCCATAACTAAATGTTCTGTGCCAGTTTCCCTGGTAAAAATGACAGACAGAATCGGACAGAAACAGACAAGATTTCTATCGGTTTCTGTTAGCTGTTTGTATACAGACAAAATCAACAATTTACAGTTTAGGCGATAGAAATCATATCTATTTCTATCGGCTCCGATTTTGTCCATAATTTTTATCAGAATTGTGCATTGTAAATATTTTGAAACAATACCGACAATGTTCAAGAAGTAATAGAGAATATATAAACTTATTATTTTTGAAACAACAACGTGTGTCCAGAAATCGCATTTTTTAACAAAATGACAATAAAATTATATCAGAAGAAATTTTTAAACAGATTTCAAAACAAACTGTTTCAAAAACGCTTCTAATAT